ATTCGGACAGAAACATTGAGCGTTTAATGCCTACACCTTATTCATCCTCAAGGATTGGCTTTCCACTACCTTATTGACCCCTACGCTCACTGTTGTTCGGGTTAACGTTTCGCGTCCTCCTCGCTCGTTACCTCCTTCTCGATCGATCTTAGGGATCTTGGGTACTTACATCGCGGATCAAGAAGAAGACAAGAGACAACTCCGTTGCAATCGGACACATAGTTGACGTTAAATACTCAAAGTCATTTCATTGTTCCCTTGTACAAATACATCGACTTGCAAGGCGATGCGTTAACGCATTGCCTTACCGAATTATTCACACATGATGACCCGATCGCATGGAGAAACCTTAAGACCCAGAAGAAGAAAGCTAAGGAGAAGGCCCAGAAGAAGAAAGCAAGAGTCCAGAAGTATACAGCCCAGAATTCTGGGTTGGGCTGCTGACCTGAGGAATCGACTGACTCTATTTTAGGGGTCAGTCGATCTCAGTTCTCTGTGTAGTTTTCTGTTGACTGGCAGTTTTATTGAAAGTCGGTCGATTGGTACATAGCCAGTCGCTTGCTTTTGTTTGTGAAAGGCAAAACCGTACGCGTAGTAGAACATTGGAGCCCCACCTTCTATTCTTGTGCATGTAGCTTGCGTGCATACGCGTGTGTGTCCACTGGCCATGGCCAGCGGCTGAGATCATCTCATCACCGGCTGTCCACAGTCCTGCTCGACACGTACGTCGTTCCCCCGCACATCATCGACCACCTTTGCATCACGGCCTCACGGTCACGGGCTGGCTCTACTTAAACAGCCCCACCCACCGTCCCACCGTGAGCCATTGCCCTCCACCTCGCCTCGACCCTGCCTTCACGTAGAAGCACACCAAGACCAAGCTATCTGACGTTAGTCCTCGGATCCGACCGACCACGACCGGAGAAGGTGAGTCTCCTCCCACTCCGGCCGTCTCCCCCAAGCCTCCGGCACGGCAGTCAATCGTTTCTTTCTCCGCCCCTTCCTCCTCCTCCTCCTCCTCGGATTGATTCGGATCTACTCCTTGTCGCCGATCGTTTCTTTTTCCGACTGAGAATTGAACAACTGACCTCACCGTGTGCTGCCTGCCTGCCTTGTTGTTGATCTCGTCCTAGCTCCATCCACCATGGACGGCAACAAGACTGCCGCCCGGCCGGCCAGCCTACGGGCGTTCTACATCGCCCGCGCCACCGTCGTCGTCTTCGCCTTGGCCACAGCGGCCGACTACGTACTCGACCGCTACCACCTCTGCAGCAGCCAGAGCCAGGTACGTACCGACCTAGCTAATAACCCGTCTACTCAGCTGTCAGGCTAGATGCATGCTAGACTTTCCGATCCGGTCATCACACGCCAAACTGGCCGTCTGAGTGCAGGCTTCCTTCCTCCTGCCGTGCGTCAGGGCGACGGCGGCGGCCGCCGCGGAGTGGAGGGCCCTCTGGCTCGGCATGCTCTTCTGCGCAGTGCTCGAGGCGGCCGTCGCGGCGCTGGCGCTGCGGCTCCCATGCCGCCACCGCGCCCTCGCCTACCTCCACCGCGCGCTGACCATCGTCCGCCACTACATGTACGTCCGCGCCGCCCGCATCTTCCTCGCCGCCGACCCAGGAGTCTACCTCACCGGGATCTGCATCGGGAGCGCCTGCAACTTCATAACGGACGACGTCTTCAGCTTCATGGGGCTTTTCCGTTTTGGAGGCGAGGTGTGAGGAGTTCAGCTAGAGCTGCGCTGCAGGGGATCATGCCCATGCCCGTGGACCAGCTCATGAGGTACTGCGACTAGTTCTAACTTCCAAGGGATAATAAGCACGTTCTGTATGTGCGAATCGATATCGTACTCTAGCCAGTACTATGCATTATGATCGAGTGCCGTGTGTGTGAATCGATCTGCTAGTGTGATGTTAATCGGACCGATCAACTGTACTAGTCGGTCCATTTGGGCTGTACTGTATGAGACATCAGTTATCTGTATGAGTCAGTACGTGAGCCATTGTTTTGCATTCATTCTGGCAGCCAAGCGCTCTCTCTCGTTCCAATTTTTTTTTAATAAATCTCTCGTTCCAAGTTTGGAGGGGCCACTCGTTGGGGTCCAACCTCTGTACATACTACATACATGCTGAACCCCCTGTCGAGCAAGCAATTGTTCAGATTGTACTATAGTACAGTACATTGACACGTTGTATTTGTGAAGAAAAAAATTGTCAATTGCAAGCAACTCTTCCTTATAATAACTGGAGCACGTCCTGCTTGCCACGTCCAGGCTCGAACACATACGTCGACGACCGTGCGAGTGTGCACAAGTGCATGCGACACAACACACGAGGAATGTAATGCTAGTCGATAGAAACTTCTACTCCCTCTGTTCACTTTTATAAGGCGCTGAAGAATTTCAGACAGCGTGCAAAGTAGCCTATTTTCAGTTGTCTGAAATGACTTACAAAAATGAACGGAGAGAGTAGTAGAATTAATGCAAGCACACTGCTTTACGGCCATCGTCTACTCCGGAGCCGAAATGATTGGCGAGCGAGCGTGCATGTGCAGCACAGTAGACGCTGCCAAATCGAGTTTCCAAACGAGCGAAAGCGTCCATGTGCGCGGCAGAGCTGTTGAGCGCATTTGTGAAAACGCCATTGAATCAAAGGGGAGATGCATCACCGGCATTTCTACGTCGTCTCTGCCTACCTTCAATGAAGTGTACAAGACCCTTTTGGTGGTCTAGGTGAGGTGCAACATCACGATCGATGGTTGATTGATTTATCTGTTTTCATTTTGCAAGAAAAACTTACTATCTATGGCGAGCTCCGTTCCCCTATGGACCCGGCTCTCAAGTTTGGCATGTAGAGCTTTGAAACCCTACTCCCTATTGTTGGCAAATATGGAACAATGCATTGCTTGTCTTACATCAACTTTAATAAGAATGGATGTGTGCATAGCAATGATGCAAAGACCAAGGGTTGTAGCCTCTCTTTTT